AAGCCTTTAACGATGACGACATCACCCATGCGATATCTCCACAAGCCATTGCGAGTCGTCAAGACGGGCTCGTAATGCCCTCCAGCTACGAGTTCATGCTACGACAGGGATGAGTATAGACAATGGTGAGACGTGGTGAGTAGTTCTTACAATGGACAGTACATGCTCTGAGGGTTCGTTGGAATGCACATCCAGAAATTCGGTGACCACATCCACCAACACCACCTTGTAGTCAGTGTTAGGGTCGCCTTTGTGGTATGTTATGGCGACGCCGCCCTCTGAGCTACCATAACCAGGAGACTGGGTGAAGACAGAAGGTCCGAGGGCATGAGTAATCTAGTATCAATAATCAGTTGAGCAGTAGACCTTCAACACTTGACATGCCTTGGGAACGGAGGCAGCAGCAGGCCCTCCGGTGATACCAATAAACCTTGTCAAGTCAGGCCACACGCGGACTGCCCAACCCTGGATACCAGGAGGTCCGATTTCCCGAAGTTCGGCAGCACGATCAGAATTTGGCTTAAACAGTTTCTGAGAGACCTTGTCAGCCGAGTGGAATGTAACAAATGAGAAAAATACGACCTCCAAGGGTGCTCGCAAATGGCCTAGGTTTTCGACATCAGGGATGATGCCCTTCTCGATGCAGTCGATGAGTAGAGACCACTCATCCTCTATATACTGCAGAAAAATGACGAATACGTTGGCGAAGAAGAACCGGATGGTCGTCACCCCACGGTCTGTTAGTGCAAACAGAGCATTCAAAACGAAGAATGCCCGATAGCTCTTAACCGAGGAGATCGCATATGGATCTGTTTGTCCCGGCACTGAAAATTGGCTGGAAATCAGTGTTCACGAGCGACAAATGGGCGAAGGGCTTACGCCATAAGTCGAGCCTCTCGTTGTCATGCTCGACGTCCCAGTTCATTGCCATTCGCAGAAAACCGATGCTCAACGAGCAGACTGTTACCTGCTTGGACTGACCGTCTTCGCAATCTATTGTTAAGATTCGCGAATACTTCAGAGAAGACGGTGATAAGGTGGTTCCCTCTGACGGGGGAAGCGCTAGATAAAGAGGGTGTTGCAACAGGTGCGAGGGAGGCAGATATTTTAGAAACGTCTTCACTGATTTGCCGGATGTCATGCTAGACATGGCGAGGAAGTAGGGAAGTCCTGGGGCGAACATGTTCTTGACATCAGCCTCCTTGCAAGGGGTCGCAAAAAACTTTGCTATGAACGGCCGGTAAGGTTCGTAGTTTGTAGTAGGGACAAATTCTCGGAAGATACGTAGGAATTCCCTGTCATCCATCGAATCGTTCTGCGCGATGGCCTCACGGAATTTGGCCAACTCAGGAGCTTCCTGCGCAAACTGAGACGCAGAATTCGGCCGTATAAACTCGAGCAAAGCTCGATCTACGCGATCCTTCAACTGCTGAGATAGTTCAGCGGGCAAGGAGTCTAGGAGATCTGTTTCAGGACGAGACATTGTTACGTTCTGATGTAGAGTTGGAATGCATCTTTATATAGTGGTTGACTCGTAGCCTGTGGTAGGCGTCTCAAGCTGGTCGGACGCAAGCCTGCCGTGCTGCTGACATCTTTCAGCGATCATAGGTTTGCAGCAGATGACGAGATGTACCTAGGCATGTACATGTGAGGGCTCAGCCCTTGGCTCGCAAGCTCAGGGAATCATAATGAAGGCACAGATGATGGTAGTCGCGCGCGATGATCGCGCATATCAGGCATAACACCACGCGTATATCTGATAAGCTTTGGAGACCGACGGCACCGAATGTAGATGATATGATATATCTACTCTAGGCATATTTGAAGGTGGGCCGCTCTTCTTTATAAATGCTGTACACTGTACATGCATGGCTGTAAGAGTTCAATGAGTGATCAAATTTGGAAGCTGCAACCAATTTCAAAAAGCATTCGGACAAACACAAATGGATATGTTCCCTGCAGAGTACCAGAGAAGTGTGGCCGCAACCTGCCGACTCGAAGGCAACTGTAGTCATGTTAGTTCCAGCAGAATTGGCCAAAAGCTTAACGCCATAATCTGCAATGCTATCAAAGGATGAGGCGCAGTAAGGTGAGAACTGGCCAAAAACAGTAGCATTGGTTCTAGCGCAGACGGAACTTCAGCAGACAAAAAACGTTTGAAATTAAGCGCTCACGCATCAATATACTACAATGCCGCCATCTGGCCCGAGTGAATCCCAGAATCCCGAACATGTACAAGCTATCAGTTATCGGTGATCGCGGGTCCTCCGGGTATTGAGCTGTAGGGCCCGGTTTGTCCTAAACATCTTCTTCGAGCGCCTGTTTCACCAGTGCACTGGTGAAAAGCTTTCGCCGGATTCAGACTGGCGCTGTCACGGAGGTGATATAGTCGTCAAGTGCAGGATCCGGTATCTTTTGTGTAGCAGTCTAGCATGCGAGTAGCATTCGTAGGTCTCGGAACTGTTGACGTTAGTCAAATCCAAGGACAAATGTGTTTGAGTTCTGCATAACATAGCGCTTTTGAAAGTCTGCCTATGACGATAATACCATGTCTAAGGTAGTACAAACTGCCCCTTAGATCTAGATATTGAGACTATCGTTGTTGATGTTAGCCAAATCTAAGGACGAGTCAAAGGTGACCGTTATAATGTCTGTGGAGTATGATGCCTTGAAGGTTGCTTGAAGGTCTGCCTATGAGAATAATACCATATCTCCAGACAATCTTATTGACTCGGGTCAAAAGGCACCACTAGATGTTTCTTCGGTTTGAAGCGTTTGTGATCAAGACGAATCAGTGAAAATTGTAATTATAAACCAGTGACAACAAGGGAGTCAGTTACTAATTAGTGTTATGTAAAACCTTCATCACGTACTAGTTATCCTCGACCCGACGCGCGTCGACGATCAGCTCACTGCCAACGACGATCAGCTCAACACTAACAACGACAAGCTACCGAATGAACTGAAAATGGCGATGCATACCACAGACCAACCATCAAACACAAGTTCATGGTACTCCATCCGTCCCTGGACGCCTCACCTCATTCTCTCAGTCCGTGAAATCACATCTGTTTCAGCGACTTTTATTCTTTCTTCAACACTCTCTCCACCATCTGAACCTGTTTCGAACATAGATCGCGAATCCTCGATACCCGCAACCACAAACGCGAATGCAAGCCCAGACACCAACCCAGAGATAGAACAAGAACTAGAAACAGAATTAGAGGCAGGAGTCGACGGGGAACTTGGAGGAGAAACAGAAGGGGACGCCGTAGGAGACACCACCCGAGGAATTATCTCCGAAGCACTCTCAGCAGGCCTCTCAGTATCTGTCAACGGTTCCCCATGGCAGCGCGTCCTCATACGCCTCCTCGAGCCCGTAGACGAGGCTGTTATAATCATATACGGGCTCATGCCTGGACGTCAGTATGATATCGATCTGGGACTTGTACAGGGTGGATTGGCAAGTTCTATTAGGAGGCAAGTTGTCACTGAAGGTGTGTGCTTTGATCTGCTTGGCGATGATGCGGGGACTTATGAGTCTGATTTGGTTTTGTGCGCAGATGCGGAAGGTGCGATTGAGAATGGAAGGTTGGACGAAGGAACGAGTACTAGTTTTCTCCTCCCGCCCTCATCCTCATCATCCTCCGCATCATCATCATCCCAAAGCCTATCAATGTCAACTGTAACAACTGACTCAGCCCCTCTCACCCATCCCCAACCGCGCTCCACATCTCGCTCCACAACACCCACCCAAGAAGACCGTCTCCCAAAACTACAAACTACCCTTGCGTCCCTTCAGACACACATCTCCGAGCTAACCACCACCCTCAAATCCACGCGCAGGGACAGTCAAAAAGCAGACGCAGTACTCAAAAATGAGATCGAAGCTCTCAATCGGGCTTCTGAAAAAGCAAGTGCTGCCGAGAGTAAGGCGAGGCAGCGCATCAGGGCGCTTGAGGATGCTGTGAAGAGGGCTAATGAGGGGAAAGAGGATGCTGAGAGGGGGAGAAGTGAACTTGAAGGCTCTAATCCTTCTTTGAGGAAACAAGTGCGCGAGAAAGAGGAGGGATGTGACGTTCTTAACAAGGAGGCTGCTCAAGTGCGTAAGGAACGCGAGGGAAAAGAGGAAGTACGGAGAAGACGCGTGGAGGGTGTTAAGAATGAGATTGGGAGCGTCGAGCATAGGTTGGAGAGGCTTTATGCGAGGCAGGAGAAGTTGGAGGGGACGGTGTTGATTGATTTGGAGAAGACGCTTAAGGAGGTTGAGAGGGAGATACAGGATGCTGAAGCGGAGGCTGACGCGGCTGCGGCATATAATGCGACGATTGGGAGATCAATGCAGATGCAACAACCTGTGTCTCCTCCTCAGTATCGGAGACATCAACCACGGACTTCGGCATATCGAATCGGGGATGGCGCGCCTCCTGGACTGGGACTCGCTAACCCGTATGCGAGCTGTCATTCGTCCAGCTCTTGGCTTTCGCATTCTACAAGTTCGTCACTGTCGCATCCGAAGGTATCAATATTATCCAATTCAGCGAGTTCTACAGCGTCGCATGGTGGCAATATGCTTCCTACTAGTTCTGCGTCTGGGACTTCGACGCTGTCGAGCAAGGCACCACCTTTTGAACCAGCGCGTGGGTTTAGGTCTTCGTTTCCACCATTGAAACCTTCGCCTGGTATTGCGCCGATTCAGAGGCCTGTTGGGACGTTTTCGAGGGGTGGCGGGTGATGAAAATATTGGCGTAGGGTGTGGTATTCGTTGTATAGCTCTGGGAAAGTCAAATATATGCTTAGTGTTGGATGGGTTTAAACGTATCAGTTTGTCTGGAAGTGCGAGGTCGATATTTCATTACTGCATAATTACAAGAAGTCTCATTCGCGTCAGTCACTAGTACACTGTACAGGTGAAAATGGAACGGACACAGCATTATGATCACTATTTAGGAAGATATGAACCGGTTATGTGCACCAATAAACTGCTGGACGGACAAAGGCAACTAGCTTAGAATCAAGAATCGCGAATGTAGGAGTAAGGGATGCTTATGGGCCTGGTAAGTGAAACGAGAAGACTAAGGACAAACCAGATGCGTCTCGGCCACGACAAGATATGGTGCAATTGAAGCAAGGCGATATAAACCCCTTCGAAACGAGGACACTCAGGGCAGCCTAACCAAGTGCCCAGACAGAGTATTGTGTTCGCAATAATATTAAACACTCAAAGAGACGCATACGAGGGGGCAGATGCCCATTGCGGAGAAATTATGCGAGCGGGTCGTATGTCGTGGTGGAATGGCGGAAGTCGAGAGAATGAACTTCAATATTTGAAGAATAGGCTTGTCGCTCAGCTGGCTGGAGTCTGCTGGACGTGTGGTGCCGGTTCCAGGTTCCTTCCGTGCCTCCAGAAACCGGCACCTTTAGGCTTTCGCGCTTATGAGGGATTTCTGGTTATGGCATTAGCTAGGTTTGTTGTGGGGGCGAATGCCACTATGTTGCTGGTACTTATTGCTTCCGTTTCCGGGATTCTTGTGTCGTGAATCAGTTCTATTGGCTTATTCTGCTGGAGGGTATTTGTTCTATATATTTTTGACAAATGATGGACAGATGAAGCGGCCGTGCTCAGACAAGCCGTGGAACGGCGCGTGGCGATGGACGCAGCGGGTTTTACGCCATCTAGTAACTCACGTGTCAGTGCCATGAACCATACTGCACCGATCCTGAAAGCAGAAACACGACTCACTCCGCACCAAGGAAAGGCCTGCCGCGTCGTTTAGTCATATGGTCAAATCCAAGACACAAACCACTGAAACTCACGCAGAATTGTTTAGGGCAGGTCGTGCATTGGCTATTACGATAGCACCAGGTGTTACATACCTCGGTGCCAGCTTCAATGGGTGTGGCAGAGTCAATGGGCGTGGCAGATATTGATGATGCTGAAGCAATAACAACGGCGAGGAAAATTACAGAAGAGAAACGCATTGTGAGTGAGAATGTGATATGAGAATGTGTCTGAAGGGTTTAGTAGGAATTACTAGGAAAACACTTTGCTTTTATATGCCAGCAGACTGCCACGCAAGGTCTCTTGGCAAATTGGTGCAATCGTCTCCATGGGGTTTATCCATCGCATAATGAAAACAGCTCAAGGGCCTGCGAATATTGGTTTGCTCAGTTTGGCTCAAACCTGTTGTATGGAAAAGCTCCAGAGTAAGCACGAACCTATCCAATTTCTACCAAGGTATCTCGTGGCCCTGCCCAGGTGTGGGATCACCGCTGGGTCTGGTGGAAAGAGGACTCCCTCTTTACAGAAGATCTGGACTGGATGGTGGAGTGCCTATCGCTTCTTAGCCACCAACCAAGTGGCACCCCGACTAGGACCCCGGAACAAAAACTAAACATCGCGCTCGACGGCGCCAACGCCGTCACCCCGACGACTCACCCCAACCCAATCCTCCTTTATATAAACTATACTAGCTTTCTCATTAATAACTAGAACGGAAAAGACCACCAAATAGATGCCGGTGGACAACCAAGACGAACCTGCCCCCATGCGGGCGAGTTCAAGAAACAAAGAAAACGTACTGCTAAGACCAACTAACAGATCCATCCCAGAGCTCATAAGTAATCCTGCAATGCCATCGAAAGTCATAGACGCTGCAACAGCGAGAGCGGAACTAGTTAGTAAAGGAATGCTCATCCCAGCAGCAGGAGCCACCATCAACGACCTAGTAAACGCACTCTTCGAATTCACGATCAGCACCCCAGGAGTCACGCAACTGCAAAGAGATATGCTAAGAGCCATAGCTATCCTCCTCGGAAAAGCCGACCATGAACAGAAAGCAAAGAAGATAGCGGAAACAACCTCCTTCCATATGACTGGCGCCATCGAACGTCTCGAGAAGGCAGCGGACTCCCACGAAGGAAAGATAACGGCCCTGGACAGTTTCATAAACGAGGTGCGTGATTCAATTGATAGCGCCATGTCAAGGTTAGAGAAAGCAGTGGAGAACACGACCTCTAATGCGACCGAGTCCCAATCCACTCAGAGGGTAGAACAGAACGGAGACCCAGGGAAATCATATGCGAAAGCCCTACAAGCCAGGTTACCCAAGCCTGACTCTAGCACTCTCGCACGTAGCGAAGCCCAAACGAGGCAAATCCTGATAGACCGCAAATCAATGGATGTAACCTCAGGTCTAAAGGACCTAACAGAGGCGGAACTTGTCCGCAAGGCGAACCAAGCCCTAGAAGGGATGAAAGCGACAGGAAAGGAAGTCCCCCAGGAAGCCCTATTCACGAGCGCAAGAAAGCTCCGTCACGGAGGAGTTATCTTCGAGGTTGACAGTACTGACACCAAAGCCTGGCTCTCATGTCAGAGCACTAGCCAAGATTTCAGTGAAAATTTCGGAGGCGAAACGATGATCAAGAACAGGACCTTTCAAATCATAGCAGAATACGTACCGACTACCTTCAACCCGGACTCATCAACCTCACTCGCCGAAACGGAAAAGAATAGCAAACTTCAGCCAGGATCACTCATCAAAGCGAAATGGATCAAGCCCCTAGCACGCCGCAACCCAAACCAACGCTCAGCATTCTGCACCCTCTCATGCAAGGACCGAGAAAGCGCCAACCACGCAATCCGACTGGGACTCACCATCGAAGGACGCAAGATCGCGGTCCGCAAACTATTACCTGAGCCCACACGCTGCCTGAAATGCCAACAACTCACCAGCGATCATATGGCAGCAACATGTAGCCAAGAAACTGACACCTGCGGTACTTGCGGACTAGACCATCGAACATCGGAATGCGACTTCGGAACAGCGGACCCTCAACACCACTACTGCGTCAACTGTGGACTTCAAGGACATGCGTCATGGAGCAGAGACTGCCCTTGCTTCATTGAACGCAGCAACAAGATGCATGGTAAATCGGAAGAAGCACGATACAAGTTCTTCCCAACAGAGGATGACCCAGAGTCGTGGGAGATCATAGGCGAAGCCAACCCAAGACCCACTCAGCAACAACCATTCACCCACTGGACTCAGAGCGCTACCCATGAAGCAGAATACGGACGAGCAAGAAACCAACCCAACAACCAAAACTGGACGAGAGTGGAACGCAACAAGGGCAAGTCAAGAAGCCAGCCACAGACAAGAACACGCGACCAGGGATGGCCAAACCAACGAGGACCCGCGCAACCATCCCAACCCGGAGCAAGACAAACCAGGATCACGGACCTCTTCTCCAATCAGGAAAACAACGGTAACACTGACCCTTCCAGATATCACAGCAGAACCCCTCCCACGAACCAATCTCAACGCCCCGGAACCCCACCAACTCGCACATCTCCATTCCCCCCGCCACCCGGATCAACTCACCCGACAAACGCATCAATCCCAGGAAGCTTCTCACCCATGCCTGTCTCATGAATAATTACAACCAAAACAATGAACCTGCTCGCACCAACCTTAGAATATGGCAACAAAACCTCCACACGGCGCAGGCCGCCCATGAACATATGCTACACAACCTGAACCCGAATAACTACGACATCGCAATAATTCAAGAGCCCTACCTGAACCCAGTCAACCTCGCACCATCCTCCTCAACATGGGACATTATCTACCCTTCGATTCACGGGGACAACGGAGCAGAACGCACGAACTCCATCATCCTCGTCAACAAAAGGTTCTCTAAAAACACATGGAAAATTATCCCATTCAAGAACAGCAACATCACCGCCATCGAACTGCGAGGTGACTTCGGTAGAATCTCTATTTTCAATGTTTATAATTCATGGAGACACATGCGAACGCTCGAAGCGCTCGAAAAACATATAGATAACCTAACTGAAACTAATAATCCCCTAGACAGTATGATATGGATGGGAGACTTTAATTGCCACGACCCCATGTGGGACGACACAGCTAACCATCATCTATTCACAGGACCCAATCTACAACGCTCAGCAACGCTCATCAACCTCCTCACCAAATATGACATGCGAATGGCTCCAGCTGGAGGAATAGCCACGTTGGAAGCCTCCAACACCAAGAATCGCACACGCCCGGACAACGTCTTTTGCAGCACGGACCTTCTGAATACCTTCATCTACTGCGACGTAGAGGAAGAACTTAGACCAACATCAGCAGACCACTTCCCCATCATCAGCACCCTCGATCTAACCCCAGAGCGCACCGAACCAAAACCCCGCCGCAACTACAGAGCTACTGACTGGGACGAATTCCGAGAAGAACTGGAGCAACGCATTAACGACCTTCCCCCACCAACAGAGATCACAACGGTGGAACAGTTCCATACCAGGCTACACCTCCTCCAAAACGCCATATTGTCGACCATCGAGAAGAAAGTCCCAATGAGCAAGCCCTCCCCACACGCGAAACGCTGGTGGTCACCAGAGCTCAACAATGCGAACCGAGCGCTCAAGAAGCTCGCGAGAAGAGCCAAGAAAAAACGACAAGAACCTGACCACCCAATACATGAGGAGCACCGCAGGGCCAGGAACGATTTCTCCGAACTACAGAAGAAGACAAAGGAAGCACACTGGAAGGAGTACCTGGAAAATGTGAATGAAGGTAACATCTGGGACATTCATGACTTCTTAACCGACGCTCCAGCTGACCGTATGCGCTCACGTATCCCCACACTGGAAGGAAGACCTGGTGCAAGACCAGCAGAGAACAATGCGGAGAAGAGCGAGCTCCTGTACAAGACATTCTTCCGCGAACCCCCAGAAAACAGCTACGTAGACCCAAACTTCGAATATCCTGAGCCAGCCTGTGAATTCCAAAACATCACTAACGCACAGATAGACAGAGCGATCAAGAAGCTCTCAGCATTCAAAGCACCAGGACCGAACGGAGTCGGCAACTCAGTATTCATCAATGCCCGAGATATCCTAACCCCACAGCTAGGTCCCATTTTCAGAGCGACATTCACGCTAAAAGTCTACCCAGAGCACTGGAAACTATCCTCAACAATAGTCCTCCGCAAACCCGGTCGCTCGAACTACGCCCTCCCAAAGTCCTACAGACCAATCACGCTCTTAGACACAATGGCCAAGATACTGTCATCTTGCGTGGCGGAGGACCTAGTATGGATAGCGGAGGAATACAACCTGCTGCCAACAACGCACTTTGGAGGAAGACCTGGACGCTCGACTGTCGACTCACTACACCTTCTAACTAAGTTCACAATGGATGCCTGGGCCCACTCTACTGATCGATATGTGTCCATGCTCTTTCTAGATGTTAAAGCAGCCTTCCCTAGCGTTGTGGTGGAACGTGCCCTGCACAACATGAGAAAGAGGAAGATCCCCCAAGAATACATCGACTGGTACCAAATGAGACTCCGTAACCGCACAACGACACTCAATTTTGACGACTTCAGCTCAGAAGAATTCAAAGTAGAAAACGGCATCGATCAAGGATGCCCCCTTTCAGTCATCGTATTCATCTTCTATAATGCTGATCTTCTCGATATTGCAGACACACACGACGGAACTCTATCCCTAGGATTCATCGACGACGTGTCGCTAGTAGCAAGAGGCCGATCGTTTGCAGAAGCAAATGAAAAACTTAAGCTCATGATGGAAAGAGAAGGAGGCGCGTTGGACTGGAGCAGAGAACAAAACGCTGAATTCGAACTAGAGAAGACAGCCCTCCTATGTGTATCAAGAACTAGACTGACACACCCAACAGAACGACGCAAGACAATCCCAACACCCAGAATCCCCATCGTAATACAGGGACAATGCATAGAACCTGCAACATCCCACAAATTCCTGGGGGTCATCATAGACCATGAGCTCCGCTTCAAGGAACACGCGACATACGCACTCGCAAAGGGCACGAAGTACGTACTAGCGTGTGGCCGAATGGCCAAACCAACGAGAGGCATAAGGGGGAGATTAATGAGAAAGCTATACGAAGGAGTGGTGGTACCAAAGATGCTGTACGCAATAGATGTGTGGGGAGCAGGCCTAGCAAGGAAGGGAAAGGGGAAAAAGAACAAAGGAAGAGGAGTGAGAGGCTTCGCGGCGAAGATGGCAAGAGTGCAAAGGATGGCATCAATTCTAATAACGGGGGGAATGCGCACCACAGCGACCGACGTGCTCGATGCACACGCTAATCTCCTACCATTCCAGCAACTCCTGCGCAAAGTCTGCTGCCGAGCAACACTGCACATGTCCACACTCCCCTCCACTCACCCGCTCCACGCAGAACTTCGGAAAGTCACCCGCCAAAGAAAACGCCACAGAACCCCCATGCACGAGCTCCTACGCGAATTCGACATAGACCCAAGAACCATGGAAAAGGTGGACGCAGTACGCCACAATCCCAAATGCGACCCAGACGTGAAGATAGAGATCGCTCTGTCGAAGATTGAGGCACGCATGGCAGACGAAGGGGCAGAAGAGGAGGTACGAATCTACTCGGACGGATCAGCGATAGATGGAGGAGTGGGAGCAGCAGCGGTGCTCACAAGAGAGGGGAAAGACCCGAAGTTCCTACACTTCCACCTAGGAACAACAAAGCACCACACGGTCTACGAGGCAGAGATTGTAGGAATGATACTGGGAGCAGAACTCCTACGCAGAGAACCGGGAAGACCAACGGCAGTGCTAGGCGTAGACAACCAAGCAGCGATATTAGCAACGCAATCCTTCTCGACCAACCCTGGCCACTACCTCATGGACATGTTCCACAGAACCCTAGAGCGGGCGCTGATCAGACGCGACGAAGACAACATAACAGTCAGATGGACCCCAGGGCACGCAGAAATAGAAGGGAATGAGATGGCTGACACGGAAGCGAAAAAGGCAGCAGGAGGACTCTCCAGCGCACCGCCCCTCCTCCCAAACTGCCTGCGCAAGCACAGCCGCAACAAACCCACCACCGTCGCCCATCTCCCATGCAGCAAGTCTGCACTGAAACAACACCGCTATGATCAACTGAAGAAAGAGGGCCGAACCATTATGCTAGACTCACCCCGCTACCCCCTACTCAAGAAGATCGACGATGGAATCCCGTCGAACCATTACCAGAAACTGGTCGCAAGCCTGCCACGAAGACAAGCAAGCCTCTTGATGCAGCTGAGAACGGGTCATGCCCCACTCAACAAGCACCTCCATTGTATAAGCAGCGCAGACTCACCTTTATGCCCAGCATGCGAAACCAAAGAAGAGACGGTACACCACTTCATCATGACCTGCCCAGCATACCGAGCGCAACGTGACGCACTACGAAGATCAGTACCCAACAGAGCATACCACATCCGAAGTCTCCTAAACAATGTCAAACACACCTCGGACCTCTTCAAGTACATCGCAGCCACCAGACGTTTAGAGCGCGCATTCGGCGACGTGTCATCCGCAGACTAGACCAAGGAACTGAGCCATCTCGTTCCCAGCGCACATCTAGATCCTCCGCACTAGGCATCACCATCAAGACCCCCCTCCCGCGAAAACCTAGTGTACCCGCGCAAACACCCCTCCCCGTTAGCCTTAGGTTGGCTTTCAACGCTCCATCACCCCAAACCCTCATACGGGGTGCGAGCCAATGGTCCATAATTATACCAATGTCCAATATGATTCTAGTCAATAGTATATAGCATGTACTGTCTACATCGGGCGCTGCCCCAAGAAGACAAAAATAGGAAAAAAAAAAAAAAAATTGGTGGAGTGCCTCGCATTTATTGCGACGACCCAAAACGGCGTATGACATCCTTCTGCCACGCAGCATGGGAGTGAGCTGCAGCCCCGCCAAATAACATCTGTTCGTTGAGAGGCCCAACACCTCCATGGACAGTAACATCCCTCACCATTTACGTCTTGCCGCTCTTCGCAATAATCAGTGCTCGAGAGGACATAGCCTCGATCGATGCCATTGAAGATGCGAGACTACGTGATATGATTTTGACCAAGTTCTCCCCCGCTACCAATTCTGTGGTTCGTCCGCGACAAAGTAAAACACCCGTCGATGATAGTTCTGATAGCATCTTCCATTGTTGACTGTGACTTGTGTTATGACCAACTAGTACCCCCATTTGTCTGGAGATTGCCATATAGATTGGTGTATTAGCATGATTGTAGAGTGCCGCGAATTATGCATCCCTAATACATAGCTTGTATCCTCCTCTGAATCGCACCTGAACAGATGTCGGTCATATCGTTCGCTTCTATCACAGATTGACAGGGGTGGAAAATGATGAGAGCACATAGACCCATGTCGGAAGGCGCAAAGAAGTATATGCAGTCTGAGGTTACTTCAAAATCTGGTCTCGAGCGGCTCGTCAGAAATTTGGATCACGTTCTCGAAAGACTGGAGATACTCACAAAATTTAAAGTAGGGAGGGGGGGTCGCCAATGCTGTGAAGCAGTTGGAAACTGTAGCCAGTGACAAGCTTGAGGATCTTGGTGGATCGTAATTTGCCCCCTGGTATCACAGTGCCAGTGTCTCGGAACCAGAGGAAGAAATGGTGAAGTCCAAGTGCGGAAGCAGAAAGTATACAAGCCAGGGAGACCAGCATGTACCTTTCGATTACTATGATCAATGCTGGAGATAAGTGAATGTTATGCTGATCCGTGAGTTTGGAAGGACGAGTGGTCGCATCCAATACTCGAATGAAATTAGAAGAAAAATTAGATTACAAGACCTTAAAGAGTGTTTCAATCACAAAGCACGGTGACCTGAGTCAAAGTGTCCCTTTCGACGAAAGACCTAATATTCCCAGCAACTCAACTGCCATTCTCCATCCTAGCAAGCTGGTCCACAAGCTGATCCATCACATCCGTCTTGACCTCACCAGTTTCGGCACGAACAGGCACAAGGGTCGCCGCAGGATCAAAACCCGGTGCGACACGCCTGAGTGCCTCCTTTCTCCGCCATTCACGCTCATCCTCTCTTGCTCGAAGATATGCCTCCCTTCTCGCAGTATGTGCCGCGAGTGTCATGCGCCGAGAAGACTCGACTGTGAGGATGTGAGGTTCTAGTGTGTATGGATAGACGAACTACGAGCTTGTCAGTCAGTGAGATTGTTTGAGAGTTAGAGGTACGTGCGTATGGAATGACGCTATCCGGGAGAGGGTGGATGTCTGGTGGTAGATGTACCTGAGAGCAAGTCAGTGTAGTCGCCAAGGAGGACGTGCTTCCGAATCGTACAGGTGGAGGAACTCGAAGACCTGGTGACTTTATGAGTGGAACGTGCGCTGCCGCTGCGTATTGTGATTGATCTGCTTGGATTCAAACATCAGCCGTTCAGGAAAATAAACATAGAAACTACTCACTTTGGTCTGGCATGGAGATGCGGTTTATGTAAGGGAATTACTGAGAAAGACCGTTCTGAGTCTGACATATCTAAATTAGGACGCTCTCATATACTTGCATTTTCTTTTTTTCAAGTTGGTGCAGCTAGGATGGACGTGAAAGTTTATACTGTCAATGGCGCAGTAGCGGGCTCATCATCGTCTATTCCAGATTGGCTTATCAAAAAACGAGCAGCGAAAGGAAAAGGAAAAGGAAAGCGAGTCTCAAAAGAATATGTCCAAGGTGCTATCGAGCTCATCCAAGGATTCGAATTCCCTGAGGCCAGCAACAAAATCAAAACAACAAGAGATGGTCATCATGCCATAGCTACTGGCACCTACAAACCTCAGACAAGGGTCTGGGATCTAGACGAGCTCAATCTAAAATTCGAGAGACATTCAGATGCAGAGAACGTCGATTTCATAGTCAGTCTCATATTCCTCATCCTCATGCAAGCTCACGACGATTTGGGTTCAAGATTTTATCGGATGATTGGACAAAAATCATGCACTTGCAGAATGATCGTACTATCGAGCTGCACACTCAGGGAGGATTTCATTATAGGACTCGCATACCGCGCTTCGGTCGGTCACTGGCATATCACTTTCCATCATGCACCGCGCTCTTCTCAGCTTCAGGAAACGAGATATATCGACTCAACCTCGAACAGGGGCGTTTTCTCAGTCCCCTAGTTCTTCAAGACGACGACATTCAAGGCGTAAACTGTATTGACATCAACCCCGTGCATAACCTCCTTGCATTCGGCATCGATGGGAACGGGACAGTTCAATTCTGGGACCTTCGCTCCAGATCATCCGTCGGTGTGCTTCGAGCACCGAACAATCGATTACTACGTCCAACAACACGGAGTACCATGCCAGGCGTCGATGACATCGACACACTCAGTATAGGCATCACAGCTCTCGCTTCTCGATCAGACGGTCTATCATACGCTGTAGGAACATCCACAGGACACACCCTCCTGTACGATATCCGATCCAACCGGCACTTCGCACTAAAAGACCAAGGCTACGGCCTCCCAATACGCAATCTAACATGGATAGAAGGCGGTCGACTCGCAGGGGACGGTATGGTAATGAGCGCAGATAAAAAAGTCGTCAAAATATGGGATCGTAATTCCGTGAGCCCGTCTTACTTACTCGATAGCACTAATGCTGATGACGACACTAACACCGACGCACAACAGCCGTCATCCAACTTCGTATCCATAACACCCGCAAACGACCTCAATCACATCCACCACGTCCCAGGCAGTGGCCTCTTCCTAACTGCAAACGAAGGGATTCAAATGGGCACATATTATGTCCCTGCGCTTGGTCCTGCACCACGCTGGGCTGGTTTTCTGGAAAATGTCACGGAAGAGATGGAAGATTCTACGACCAGGACCGCGTATGAGGATTTCAAGTTTGTAGAGAGGAGTGAGCTGAAGACGTGCGTTGTTGTTTTGTGTTTTGTTGTTGTGTTTGCTATTATATTTCCTCTTGATCCTGCGCTGCATTCCCCATTCACCCCAGACTCACAACTCACGCACCCCCCGCAGACTTGGCCTCGACCACCTAATAGGAACCCCCGCTCTCAAACCCTACATGCACGGCTACTTCCTGTCCCTCCACCTCTACGACACCGCACGCGTTATTGCTAACCCTTTCGCATATGCTGAGCATCGTGAGAAACTCGTCAAGGAGCGGATGGAGAAGATGGCGGAAACGAGGATACGTACGAAGAAGGGTACTGGTGCTGGGGCTGGAAATGAGGAAGTCAAGGTTAATAAAGCGTTGGCGGAGAGGATTGAGAAGGGGCTTGAGAAGGAGAGGAAGAAGGAGGAGAGGAAGAAGAGAAGGGGTGCGAAGGGTGGGGAGGATGAAGAGGCTATGGATGTTGATGTTGGTGCCGATGATGATGAGGCAGAACAAACTCCAACCGAACTCGAAAAACCAACCCTCCTCAACGACCCCCGTTTCAAAGACTTGTTCCTGAACCCCGAATTCGCAGTGGACGAAACGACAAGAGAGTATGCGCTTTTGCATCCTTCAGCTTCGGGTTCTAAGCAGAAGCCAAGAGGGAAGACTGCTGTTGAGGAGGAGGAAGAGGAGAGCGAGAGGGCTTCGTCTGCTGGGATCAGTGAGGATGAGAGTGAGAGCGAGGGCGGTGATAGTGATGATAGTAGTGATGCTGGTGGTGAGTTTCTGGTTTCGTTTCTAATCATCTTCCTTCCAACGTCCAACTTCACCCACCGTTGTCTACTTAAAACTCACGATCGCGTACTCACATAACCTCCCAGAACTCAACAAATTTGACCCGCGTGTGCGTCCAGGCCAAAAGAATGAACGCGCACACCAAGCATATGCGCGGACGCGCCAACACAACAGACAATCCAATGCCAACATCAACTTCGTCCCTCTCGTTCCACACACTGAAACTAGTACGAGCGTTAGGAAGACAGATAATAAGACTGCTACGTTTGGACAGCGGAGGAATGCACCTACACGTGGTTCCTCTCACACTACGACACCCCACGCCGCAGCGAAGGGAGATAAAGGAGGGTTTGAAATGAGCTGGGTCCCTTCTTCCACAAAAGACACCTCAAGAGACAGGGGGAGCAGAAAAGACAGAAGTACGAGGAAGGGCGTGGAGGTGTTTGGAGCTGGTATGGAGCGTGGGGGTGGGGATGGGGATGGGACGGCTGTGTTGAGTGAGAATGAACGGACGGGGAGGAAGCAGCGAAGAAAGGGAATGAGGAGTGGGAGCAAGAATGTATTCAGGCAGTTAGGGTAGCAGTCTGACATTTGGTTTTTGACTCGAGGTGTTACCTACACGCCAGAAATCGCACACCCTCACGTCACACTCATCTATACGTGCAAAAAACTTTGATGAGGACTGGTATCTCTATGCGGTGATGACAAATCGACTATGCCATAGTTATTGACAATGCGATATGGGATATATGTATTATGTATGAGTACCGAGGCGTCCGACACGACAGGCATTCAAGCGATCCTAGGCATCTTCTGCGGGATAACGATAATACTGTTGTTATGGTGCCAATAAAGAAAACAAAGAGTCTTTGCTCTAGTATGTCTTTTTCTTCTCGTCTACCGAGAGACCACCTGTAAGGGCGTCAGTCACGAACGAACGAAGTAGGGAGAGTGAGATTGACGTACCGGGTCCAATATTCACGAGAAGGATGAGACCTCCGACGATAGCTGTGATTTATTATGTTTGAATACTGTGTGTGATGGCAAGAAATAGTGGCTTACAGAGCGTCTGGAAGAAATCGTACCTAGCAAAGCACGTCAGCACATGCCCTAATATATAACTCACACACGTACTTAAGAAAATCACGCTGAGGATGCGCACTATGAACGCTCCACCAGTTGTTCGCAAAGACGTTGAAGACACTGAGTAGGATGACGAGGAAGGTCGCAGACCATTTTGCTTTGAAGCCAATAGCTACCATCGTGCATGCTGCGAGACCGAAGAGGGACACGAATACGCGGCCTATACTCCATTTTCCTTGGATAATGAAGCCAAAGAAGAGGAAGATGAGGAGGACGCGACCTGCTAGGAGGAAGCTACAATGGCGGGGAAATAAATAAGTGAGTTGCGAGAGAAGGGTGGGGGAAGAATGCGCACTATTTCTTGCGGTCTGTTTCACTCATAGACGGGATACCGGCAAAGCTTTTCTTTTTGTTGATCATGGTTTCGCTAAACACCATGATGAGACCGCCTATGACGCTCAAGTTACGAAGGAAGAAAGTGAGGTCGAACATCAGGCCATATCCGAAGCCTTGAATGACAACTACGCTGAGGAGACCGATGACCGCATATTCTGTGTGCCTTTTCATGATGACGGCTGAGGAAGCGACAAGCATTGTCTACGACGAGTGAATTAAATCCAGAAATTGCAAGACTTAGAACGAGGGCTTACGATGACATTGAGCAGTAGGAAGATGTGGGAGATTCCTGGGTAGAAATGCCTATGTCTGTAACCAATGAAATTTGAACAAACATCTCCTGCTATGCCATAGCTGTAACTGACGTTTGGAGGTACCAAAGCTGATCATTCCACTGTGTCATAATCCTCAGAGCATCCTCATAGAACGTGACGATGATCAAGAACCGGCCAATAGTAGGTAAATGAGGTTTCAAGGGCTGAGAATATATCTCGATAGCGTCTTCGACTTGTTTAGCAACTGCTCGAATCCTTTCGAGAGGATGGTCTGGGTTAGCTGCTCTGTAACCTGTAGAAGGTTGTGAGTTTGCGAATCCATGGGGATCTGGGCTATGATAGCTTGTTGAAGCTGGACGACCAATGTTTATGCGGGAGGTCATGGTGAACGATGGAGACGAGGAGGAAGTTAAGCTTCGTGCCAACTAACAACCGACGTGGCGATTCACGTCTCGTGGGAATTTTGTTACCCGAAAGCCGATTAAGCTTTTTTGCATCATAGGGGGAACCGAGAATTTGTCGTTGAAACTCGTGGTTGGTCATTAACATTGTCGACATTGGTACCACGTACGCGCAAATTTTTTTGGGGAGCCAGCATGAACAAATCACGCGTAGACCCGGTGCGAAATGAATACTTTTAGTACGTCGTTCGCATAGCGTCCAGAGCCGCTACTGACCGTATCAAAAAGTTCAGTGTTAAACGTGCCAACGACCGCTTCCGCAAACGAAATACGGGAACGCTACAGAGCATTGTCTGTAATTTTTCACCCCGATAAGCAACGCGGGGAACGGACAAAGGACACTGCAGCTGTGGAATTCCTTGAAATTCAGAAGGCTTACGAAGGTGAAAGTCTTTAGTCCAGTTCCAATGCAATATCTGACAACACTTTAAAGTTTTGTCAGACCCTTTTCTTCGGTGAGTTTTTGTTGTAACACACCGTTCTTTGCATGCGGTCTTACTGTAATAGGGAAGTGTATGATTTCCTAGGTAAGCACATCCGCATTCTATCCTCGGGGCATACTTCACATAACCATATATTTCCTTATCGGCACTAGGCGAAGATGCTTTAAAAAACCCGTGGCCAACAGAGTTGCGGTCTCAGAGTGTTGAACAAGTGCGGCATTTTCGCTCAGCATGCAATGCTGACTTACTCCTCTTGACAGATACGTGCGCATCTTCGACGTTGGAGGATCGATCGTAGTCAAGAAGTGTTTGATCACCTCATTCGGCCAAGAGGCACTGTGACGTGTGGAATTGACGCATCGACGTTATTCGCACGCGATGATGACCTAGATTATGATTCGAGAGGCATCCTCACCCGCTTCCGTGGAGTCTGGGTCTCTCAATTTGCCATTCGTCACTCCGTTACGGTGAGCTCCATACCTTTTCGTTCCCACCTGACATTCATATCCGCTCCAAATCGTGCAGAAAGTGTTGAATGAAAAGACTAATCTCAAATTTACAAGTCACCTGGGACTAGGCTCTCGAAATGACTTGCTGAGTAGAAATAACCTCATGGGCACGATACGCCATCAATTTTCTCCTCGGCTCGCTTTGGAGGTATGTCTTATTATTACATCAGACTTATTACTCATGGAATGATCGTCATCTGAAAAGGCTACAGCACATTTCTTAGACCCTCACCTCGTTGTCGCAAAAGCGAGCTACGAAGATAATGACAATACCCTAAATTGCCGTGTGCATTTCATTCCTGCTTTCTGGAACCTTCTCCCTCCGGCTAGTACCGTTTCCTTCAGTCGTCGACTCTTCCGACATGCTTCAACGGTGGGCTCTGTGGCGTGGACATTCTCTCCATTGTCCATGGGAAGCTTTGAATTTGATATACACTCCCCTCAGCCATTTGACTTCTCGTCTTCTGAAAATTACGTTCACTGTACGGACCGTATGAACGCCGACTTCACAAATAAGCCTGGCTCCGCCAGTGGTTTTGGGGTTGGACTGCGGGCTTGGTCGTGTGGGTTACAGTTATCTGGCCTCAACTCGTGTATCAGGACCGAATGGTCTATCTGGTTTTTCGAACTATCGCTGAGGTTCAAGGCAGGCCTAGAGATTGGGTTTCGGCAAATGGCTTATTTGGTCACTGCAACATGGACTAACACGAATGCTGCTATATCAACTAGCTTTGGTGTGAGCACCAAGGGGTTAATCATGCGCTTTGAGTGCGCCACTTCGTCCTCAAATATTCTCCTGACTCACGCGTTGATATCAGGTTGGAATATCTCCATCAGAAGTGGATATTGCCAATAACTTTGTCCACCGTAAGAAATCAAACATTGGAGTTCTTTTCGGCTGTTTTGCCTTCAACAGTTCTCCTCCTCGGATATCATTTTGTTTTGAAGCCTCGTAGGCAGTTACAACGGACATTGTCAGTCTTATCTCCAACTTTCTTCGATTGTCAGATTAACGTTTTCGTTTTTTTAATTAAAAAGATATTTCCGCAAGGCAGAGCGCCTCCTCAAAGAGGAAAAAACTCAGCTAAAGAGGCGGATTGATGATACCGTGGGGTTGTTGAGCGACACTGCCAAACGTCACATGCAGACGGAGAGGTCCAGAGGAGGTACGACATTTCTACATATCCGGGCACGTGGTTCTCACGTTGAGTCAAAGGCCTTGTCATCTTGAGTGCGACGTACGGACCCGAACCGGACGCCGAGAACCTTACGATAGATGTAACTGTGCCTGTACAAGCTTTGGTGTACAACAGTCAGGTTCATATCCCCGGTCATCGCACAAAGGTAGTCACGCTCATATCTTCTCCTCGAATTTTGGTTCACGTGTCATGTCACAGGCCGGTATTCAAGGTTTCTACGATCCCGCCCCTACATCCCCAAAATCGCTTCGCGTACGTTATCTTTTCCGTGATCGACAACATTACGCAGAGATTCCCGACTATGTCCCGGTCGTGCTGCCTTTGCCAGGTGTGTACATTGTAGTCGTTTGGGCGTATTCGTGCTTGACGATGTTTTTTTTTTTCCAAGATCATCTCGTGAATTAACCGGCTTCCAGTTGCTACAAACCCGTTGTCACTCCCACCCAGTATCTCTTATACCCATGTCTGATGTTAATGTGGATAACTATTGGCTCTTGAGATTTGAAATATGACCTTAATCAAATGCGTATCAACCTTTTACCACAACAGCCAACCGGGAGAGAGCGAAATTAACAATGGCGCAGGCGCGGACTCATCTTGTGTTATCATACCCGACGAGATAGACGTGCCGTATACAGTCTACGCCACAAAAACGAGCCTACGGCTCCGCTGAGGTGTCCGTGGGGGTGCCTTCACCGCGCTTGTGATCCTCGGGCTTTGCTCGCTGATGATTGTGTCCTTGTTCGTGACGATCCAAGTTCCCGGAATGCAGGCTGTACTAATGACCATCAAATACGAAGTATTACGAACCCAGACGGAAAAATCCGCTAGGCATGAGCGAATTGATGAACATGCTGCACCCAGCCCCCCTCAGCTCACCTTCGCCCATTGATATATAACGGATTGTACTACTTGCCTGACTGTGCACACATTGCCGCAACGCGGAGAGGTGCCAGTAACCTGCCGCGGAATTCAATATTCTAAGCGCCGATCTATTGTCAATCACTTCCACGCAGTTCAAAGTGACATTGTGAAACCTTAAGTCTACGTGTAAGTAACAAACGACGGATTGGACTCGGACTTCCCCGCTCACCTCCCCTGCAATATGCTTGTGGTGCCAGCGTTGCCACGGAGCTGAAGGCCAAACCTTCGCGGCGCAAGTACGCAGCGAGCTACGCTATTACCCCTAGCCTAGGCTGTTGCAATGGGCCCGGGGTGTTTGTCCGCACGGAACCAGCCGTGTCTAGACTAAGTTTGCCCTGCAGACTTTCCCAAGCAACCGTTCAATTT